TCCAGTTGTGAAAAGGCCCAGGGGCATGAAAATAGGGGCAGCTTCCATAGGGTCTAAGGGGCTCAGGTGGTGCAGTGGCTAAAGCACTCAGCTGCTAACCAAAAGATTGGTACTTCAAAACCCTCCAGCCACTCCACGGAAGAAAGATGAGGCAACCTGCTTCCGTAAAGACTGGCAGCCTTGGAAATCCTATGGGGCCGTTCTACCGTGTCTTCTAGGGGTGCTATAAGTTGGAATTTACTCAGTGGCAGTGGGTTTAGTTTGGTTTCCGTATGGTCTGTGTAGTTTCCTCTTGCTGCTATAACAAATTACCACACATTTATTGTCTAGTGGAGAATAGTAGTAGATTGAAGTAGATTGTAGGTTTGTGCAACACAAACTTGTTCTCCTACAGTTCTGGAGGTCAGAGGGCAAAAGTCAAGCATTCTTCCTGGAGGCTTCCGGGAGAATTAGTTGCCTTGCGTTTTTAGCTTGTAGAGGCTGCCTGCATTCCTTGCCTCATGGACTCTCTCTCTCTCTCCCTTTTTTTTTTCCCAATTGTGATTTGGGTGAAAGTGGACAGAGCAATTGGTTTTCCAGTCAACCATTCATGCACATTTTGTTTTGTGACATTCCTTGCAGTCCCCACAATGCAATAGCAACCTCCCTACTTCCTTCTTGTGTTTACTGTTTCTCCCGTCCTTCTTTCCCATTCCTTCCTGGCTTCTGAGCTTTATCCCTGGGGAAACATAGGCCCGTGTATCCCTATGGCTGAAAACTGAGCCCTAGGAGTGAGCTCAGTCCCCATCTTGAAAGGTGACTGAAAGGACTGTCATCCTGGGGGCCTACCGTCTCAGAGCCTAGGCTTTGGCTCATGGCTTCTGTTCTGGTTCCCTAGTGCCTCTCTGATAAGAATATACCATAAATGGGACGGCCTGAACAAACAGGAGTTTATTCTCTTACAATTTGGAGGCTTTAAGTCTGAGTTCAAAGTGCCAGGCTCTAGGGGCTGGGGGAAAGCCCCTCAACCTTGGGGTCTAGCTCTGCCTCCTGCTCCCGGCCCACTGGAGTTAGAGGCTTTTCTTCACTCAGACAGCTGCTGGCTGCTGAGACTGAGAAGCCCCAAGGTTGACAAGTCAAAAGGCACAGTCACGATGTTACCAAACCACACGGCAGGCCATTAACTCAAGTCCATTGTAAGTCCCAAGGTCAGCAGAGCATGGCAGGCTGCTGAGCAACGACACGGCTACATGCAGGGTCCAAGCGTGCCACAGGCTAGAGACCATTCCCAAGGCTGCTCCTTATACACAGGAAGCAGACCACATCCCAGAGGATATGTTTGTGGTAGATCCCACCATGGAGCTAATTACCACTCACATCATGGGGAACAACTACCACCAGCTGCCCAGCCCCTACACCAGGCCCGGCCGAGTTGACCCACAAACATCACCACCACGGCCTCTTTCTCACGTGACTCCAATCTCTGCTTCTGTCACCTCATCTTCCGCCACCGACTCTGACCCCCGCCCCCTTTGCATGAAGACCTTTGGGATGACATTGGGACCCTCTGAGAAATCCAGGAGAACCTCCCACCTCAAGACCCTTAATTTCCTTCTATCTCCAAAGCCCCTTTTGCTGTGTGAGGTGGCTCACTCACTGGTTGAGTGGATTCACATGTAGGTCTTGGGAGCCATTACCCAACCTCCCCCAGGGTCTCAGCAGCTAGCGCACATGTGTGTCCCATGGTGGAGGGACACCTTGAATACCAAGCTACGGAGCTGGGATAGAGCCTTTCCTTTCAAACAAAATCCACTGCCATCAAGTTGACTCCAACACATGGAGACCCCAGAGGTGTCAGGCTAGAACTGGGCTCCACAAGGTTTTCAAGACGGTAACTTTTCAGAAGCAGATTGGCAGGCCTTTCTTCTGGCATACTGAGCGTGGGTTCAAACTGCCAACCCTTTAGTTAGTAGTCCCTCACTTAACCATCTGCATCTCCTTTATAAACTATAACTGAGTTATATTTTATCAACTGGATATAATATATGGAAAAGAGAGATACCAGAATTTAGATTTGGGGAAGGTAGTATGAGTATTGGGAGCTCTTGCCTGCTAACCAGAAGTCTGGCAGTTCAAACCCACCAGCCACTACTCGGAAGGAAGATGGGGCAATCTACTTCCATAGTGATACTGCCGCCTGGGAAACCCAAGGAGGGGTCTCTATGAGTCAAGTTAAGTCAATGGCAGTGACTTTGGTTTGGGCTTTGCTTCCAGTGGGTGTGGTTTGGGCTTTGCTCCCATAAAGACTGACAGTCTTGGAGACCCTGTGGTGCAGTTCCACTCTGTCCTCTAGGGGCGCTGTGGGTCAGAATCCCCTCCAGGCACTGGGTTTGGTTTGGGCTTTGCTTCTGTGAAGGTAGGAGCTCTGGTGGTGCAGTGCCTAAGGCACTTGACTGCTAACCAGAAGGCTGGCGGTTCAAACCCACCAGCCACTCCTCAGAAGGAAGGTTGGGCAATTTACTTCCATAGTGATACCGCCTCGAAAACCCAAGAAGGGGTTGCTGTGAGTCGGGTCCCACTCAATGGCACACAACAACAACAGTATGAGGATTACTCCCTTATTGGATGACCTTTATTATTTTAATATTTGATGTGTAAGAAAAGTTTAAATGTTCAAAAAGAAAAGATTCTCCATCTGTCAACTTCTTACAGCCCCTGCTGTGAGTCACCACCACCCAAGTCACCACCACTTCTTGTTGGACTATTGCAGTAGCTTCCTCATGGGCGCACCTCACTCCCACACTTACACCTCCCATCTCCCATAGTCTGGAATCCACCAGCAACCAGAGGGATACTCTTAAAATCTCAGCCAGATCAAGACGCTCTTCTGCTCAGAATAGGGCTGCAAATTAAAGGGACGGGAAAGGACAGAATGCCCAGGTAAACTTGAATTAAACAAGACGCACCCACCATCCCAGGTTCAGTTCTCAGCCAGTCCACCTCTCGCACAGCACCACCCACCTGTCGATAGAGACTTGCGCGTTGCTATGAAGCTGAACGGCTTTCAATGGAGCTGCCAGACTGAGACAGAGTAGGAAGGCAGGCCTGGGAATCTACCTCCAGCAATTAGCCAATGAAAAGTCTTTGGCTCACCATGATCCAGTCCACAACCAATCACGGGCGCGGTGCAGGACTGGACAGCATTTCATTGTGTTGTGCGCGGTGTCACCATGACTCGGGACCAGCTCAATGGCAGCTAGCAATGACAGATGTCCCACATATTGCATGGGACATGTTTATGTTTAAAAAGTATTCATTGCTTATGTGCAGTTCAAATTTAACTGGGCATCCTCTATTCTCCCCAGCAACCTTACTTCAGAATCCCCCTCCCCCACCAGGGTTCCCCAAAACACTTGCCAGGGCCTGGAAGGCCGTCAGAGCCTGGCCTCTCCCTAGATCCCCACTCTCATCTCGTACCACTCTTCCCATTGCTGGTTCTCCTCCATCCTCACTGCTCCTGGACTATGCCAAGCACATCATGCCCCAGGACCTTTGCACATCCTCGTCCCTCTGCTTGGAGCACTTTTCCCAGATTTCAGCATGAGTCCTTCCTCCCTACCCTTCATCAGGTTTTGGTTCAAGTATCTTCTTCCCCGACAGGCCTTGCACGGCTGCCTGTATTCCTGCCCCAAACCATTCTCACACTGTGTTAGGTTTCTCAGCACATATCACCACCTGAGATATTCTGCATGCCTTTGTTTGTGTGTATATTGTCCATCTCTGTCCACTACGATGTCAGCTCCGTGAGGGCAGCTATCTGTGTTTTGTTCACCACTATATCCCCAATAAGGAGCTCTGATGCTGTGGTACCTAAGGCACTTGACTCTTAACCAGTGTGGTGGTTATGTTTGTGTGTCAGCTTGGCTGGGCCTGGTTGAGTGGCTGGGCAGCTGGTGGGAGTTATTCCCCATGATGAGACTGGCAATCAACTCCATGGTGGGATCTACCACAAGCAGCTGAGTAGCTGCCTTTGGGATGTGGTCTGCTTCCTGTCTATAAGGAGAAGCCTTGGGAATGGTCTCTAGCCTGTGGCACGCTTGGGCCCTGCATGTGGCCGTGTCGTTGCTCAGCAGCCTGCCATGCTCTGCCGACCTTGGGACTTACAATGGACTTAAGTTAATGGCCTGCCGTGTGGTTTGGTAACATCGGGACTGTGCCTTTTGACTTGTCAACCTTGGGGCTTCTCAGCCTCAGCAGCCAGCAGCTGTCTGAGTGAAGAAACGCCTCTAGCTCCAGTGGGCCAGGAGCAGGAGGCAGAGCTGGACCCCAAGGTTGAGGGGCTTTCACCCAGGCCCTAGAGCCTGGCACTTTGAACTTGGACTTAAAGCCTCCAAATTGTAAGAATAAACTCCTGTTTGTTAAGGCCGTCCCATTGGTGGTATATTCTTGTCAGAGCGGCACCAGGGACCAGAACAACCAGAAAGTGGACAGTTTGAACCACCAGCCGCTCTGTGGAAGGAAGATGATGCAATCTACTTCCCTACAGATTGACCACCTCGGAAACCCAATCAGGGTTGTCATGGCTCGGAATCGACTCAATGGCAGTAAGTTTGGTTTTCTTTATTTCTTTTTAAATATCCCCAATAAGGAACTCTGGTGGTGCAGTGGTTAAAGCATTAGGCTGCTAACCAAAAAGTCAGCAGTTCAAACCCACCAGCCAATCTTCAGGAGAAGGATGAAGCAGTCTGCTTCCGTAAAGATTTACAGCCTTGGAAACCCTATGGGGCAGCTTTGCTTTGTCCTCAGGGTCACTATGAGTTGTAATCAACCCGAAGGCAGTGGGTTGGGTTTGTTTTTTTGGTATCCCTATTGCCTAGATAGAGCCTTGCACAAAGTAGGTGCACAATGAATGGAGAATAAAGGAAAGAACAAACAAAGACATCGTTGATCTCCTGGATCCATCTATGCCTGAAGCCACTTTGTGAAATGGAACAAATGATATAAACCGGTTTCCCTGTGGCCTACACTTCCATCTCTGAGACCAGGTCGTGGCTAGTGGATTTCTTACTGACCACACTTTTATCCTCACCCTGGGATTCCCTCAGGGCCCAACGACAAGCAGCCGGCAGTGACCTGTGGAGTTGTACTCGCCCAAAATAAAGGAAGAGGATGGGATTCAGGCAGCTGTGAGCCAGGGCCAGGCCCACAACCAGTGGTTCACCCCTCAGGGCCCTGGCCAGGAGCGCAGAGTTGGGAGCAGCGACAGCTAGGACGAGGCCCAGTGCGTGGTAGGGGGCCCAGCAGACAAAAAACCCCACCACCACTGCTGTGCCCAGTGGCCAGCGGCATCGGGCCACACGGCACAGGAGGGCACTGTAACAGCCGACCACAACCAGCAGAGGGCCCAGGAAGCCAAAAAGAAACCGAGCAGCGGTCACTGTGGCCTCGGTCGCGGTTGAGCCGCCGTAGTCCACCACACACTCCAGGCGGGGTGGGAAGTGTTCCTGGTGCAGACGGCGGTAGATGGCAGAGGGTACGGTCAACACCAAGGCCAGGGCCCAGGCTGTCGCACAAGCTGCCCTTACCCCATGCGGCCGCCAGGTGGCAGCACTCCAGGCAGGTCTCAGGGCCAGCAGGCAGAGGTCGGCACTGAGGGCAGCCAGAAGCAGGACGCTGGCGTGCATACACAGTAAGATGACAGAGGGCAGGATTCGGCAGCCCGTAGCTCCGTACAGCCAGTGGCCTTCGCGGGCAATGGGCACCGCCTGGATGGGCAGCGACAGACAGCACAGCAGATCAGCCGCCGCCAGGTGGAGGAACCACGTGGGCACGACGCGCTGACGCGCCTCCCTTCCCATCACCCAGGCCACCGTGGCGTTGCCGGGCACGCCCACGAGGAAGACCACAGCGTACAGCAGCAGTGGCGCCGTGCGGAGGGGGTCGATGGCGAGGCAGGAGCCGTCCGGGCAGTCCACGGGTAGACCCGGGATCTCGCTGTAGTCCTCGTAGTCATAGCCGAGCGACGCGTTCTCCATCCAGGTGCCGGACGCCTGGGCAGGACAGAAACACAGAACTCAGCCACAGAAACTGAGGTGCTTGGAGTCCTGGAAGGAGCTCTGGTGGCAGTGGATAAGGCATTTGACTGCTACCCAGATGGTGAGAGGTTCAAACCCACCTACCTGCTCTGTGGAAGGAAGATGGGGCAACCTACTTCCGTAAAGATTTACAGCCTCGGAAACCCAGTGGGGGTCGCTATGCGTTGCAATTGACTCAATGGCAGTGAGTTTAGTTTTTGTATTAATTGATTGATTGATTGATTGATTGATTGGAGTCCTGAGGAGTAGGAAGCCTGGCCCATTACTCTCTTGGAAACTAGAATATTACAATGATAGAAGCCCGATGCATTAGCTTATTATATGATTCTGTGTTGGTACTATTAAAAAAAAAAAAGTTCACAGCGCCCCTAGAGGACAGAATAGAACCGCTCCCATACAGTTTCTACGGTTGTCAATCTTTATGCAAGCAAAGCCCAAACCAGACCCACTGCAGTCTGGTTGATTCCAACTCACAGCGCCCCTAGAGGACAGAGCAGAATGACTCCGGTAAGACAGAGTATAATTGTCCCATAGGGTTTCCATGGCTGTGCAAACCCAACCCACTGATGTCCAGTGGATTCCGACTCACAGCGCCCCTAGGGGACAGAGTAGAATTGCCCCACAGGCTTTCTGAGGCTGTCAATCTTTTTGGATGCACACTGCCACCAGCTGCTGTGTTGAACAGCTGACCTTTCGGTGCCTAACCTCTGTGCCCCCAAGGCCTCTCTTACTGCAGGTTGTTGCTGCTACTGTTGCCGGTGCCGTTCAGCCGGCTCCCACTCAGCCACGCCCGGTACAGCTAGTCCCCAACATAGAACCCTCGCAAGTTACCCCCAACCAGACCGACCACCTTCCTTTTTTTTTTTTTTGTAATCTTATTTTTAGTAGCATGCACCACGTGCAATGTTGCAGTGGATAATTTGCTGCTGTTTTCATTCCCCGATGTTCACTGGCAAATGGTCAGCATAGCAGGTTATGGAAACCAAAAAATCAAAACAACAACAACAACAAAACAGTATTCAACTTATGTCAGAACTTACCTGGGACAGATCATTGGAACCGAACCCCGGCCTAAGCGGGGCACGAGTCACCCAGCAGAATGAAACGTGGCTTGGTGCTGTGTCATCCCCCCGGTTGTTACTATGTTTGAGTTTATTGTTGCAACCACGGTGTCAACCCATCTCCTGAAAACACTTCCTCTTTCTCCCTGAAGCTCCACCTTACCAAGCATGATTTCCTTCTCCAGGGCCTGGCCCCCCTGATGACCTGTTGTTGTTATGTGCCCTTGAGTCGGACCTGACTCATAGAGACCCCTCCTTGGGTTTCCAAGGCAGTATCACTACGGAAGTAGATTGCCCAACCTTCCTTCTGAGGAGTGGCTGGTGGGTTTGAACCGCCAGCCTTCGGGTTAGCAGTCAAGTGCCTTAGGCACTGCGCCACCAGAGCTCCTACCTTCACAGAAGCAAAGCCCAAACCAAACCCAGTGCCTGGAGGGGATTCTGACCCACAGCACCCCTAGAGGACAGAGTGGAACTGCACCACAGGGTCTCCAAGGCTGTCAGTCTTGATGGGAGCAAAGCCCAAACCACACCCACTGGAAGCAAAGCCCAAACCAAAGTCACTGCCATTGACTTGACTTGACTCATAGCAACCCCTCCTTGGGTTTCTGAGGCAGTATCACTATGGAAGTAGATTGCCCAACCTTCCTTCTGAGGAGTGGCTGGTGGGTTTGAACCACCAGCCTTCTGGTTAGCAGTCAAGTGCCTTAGCCACTATGCTACCAGAGCTCCCAAAGAGACAGACTGGCTATCTGGCAGGCTCCAACCGACAGCACTGTGTGTGGCAGGTGACCGCCTGAGGCCTGAGGCCAACCCCTGGGGCCTGTTAGACTGTTGGAATTCTAGAACACTGAAATGTGGGAACATATAGCTCATTGGTATCTTGGGACTGAAGGCTATTACCGTATTTAATTCTAGCATGATCAAAATCTTGGAATTTTGAAACATGAAACTACGAGAGCCCTGTTGTTAGCTGCTGTCAGTTGGCCCCTGACACGTAGCACCCCTGTGCACAGCACGATCAGACCCCTGTCATCCCTAGGACTTTGGTGGGTTGATTTTCACAAGTTGGTCACCAGGTCTTTCTTCCTAGTCTGTCTTAGCCTGGAAGTTCTCCTGAAACCTGTTTAGCGTCACAGCAACACAACAAGCCTCTACCGACAGACACGGAATCAATCAAACCCTTCCCATTGGCTGGAATCGAACCAGGGTCTCTCCCATAAAAGGCAAGAATTCTCCCGCGGAGTGGGCGGGGAGCTGTTGCATTGTGGTAAACTATGGTCAATGACGTGAGACAAAGTATATGCAAACTGCTGTATAGAAAGTGAATTTGCTCTGTAAATCTTCACCCAAATCACAATAAATTAAAAAAAAAAAAAAGAATTCTCCCGCTGAACCAACTCCATTATGTTACGTGCCAGGCACTGCTGCAAACATCTTTAAACATTGTTATCACATATTTCTTCTAACAACCCTTTTGATTCTGAGGGTATTGTTAGACCCATTCTGCAGATGAGGAAACTGAGGCACACAGGAGTGAAGTGACTTACCGAAGATCACGCAGCTCAGGGAGTAATGGAGTCGGATTTTGAGCTGTGTTAGTACCACTCCCGAACCCAGTGCCCGAAACATAGACACTGGAGATGTGAAATCTGAACAGCCTCCTCAGGCCACGCTCTGCAAACCTGAGCAAGCAGTTTCTGTCGCCTCTCTCCGTGTCCTCATCTGGGGACTGAAGCATTAACTTGACGAACCTCCCTCACCGGTTTGGGGAGATCAAGAGAAGTTAACACGTGGAATGGATACACACACACACACACACACACACACACGTGTCACAGAGCACAGAGCAGGAGCTCCTGGAGACGGGAGGTGTGACTAGGACAGGACCCAGGAAACCCGGCCCCGCCCTGCCCCACGTCAGAATGACCAGCCCTGCAATCCTCTGCTGACTAGTATGGGCTGGCTGGCACTGCCCAGAGCCTCCGCTGGAGTTGATGCAACAACAGGAAGGGCAGAGAGGAAGTTGGGGCCCTCCCCTCTCTCCACCCTTCAGGTAGCAGCCAAGAGGCCACTTTGTTCTTGCGTCTGAATTTGGGCACTCCACTTCCATGTTCTTTTCCCCACTAGAGTGAAATGTGCGCAGGCTGGAAGCATTCAAATCCTCACTGGCTGGGTGGCCTTGGGCAAGTCACTTAACCTCTCTGTGCCTCAGTTTCCTTGTGTGTGTAACAGGAATAAAAACTCATCCATCTTCGAAGGTGTTGTAAGGAGCCGGGGTGGAGCAGGCGGTTTGCAGTCAGCCGCCATCCTAAAGGCTGGCAGTGCAAACCCATCCAGCAGTGCCTTGAAAAACGCCCTGGTGATCGACTTTTGCAAAGATTACAGCCCAAAGCACCTTATGGAGCCGTTCTACTCTGTCCCACAAGGGGTCAGCACGAGTCGAACTGAGTTGGTGGCCATGGGGTTGTTTGGTTTAGAGAGTCTTATGAGAACTGAATGAATGTAAGTGAAATGTGTAGCACAGTGCCTGGCCCACTGTGAACCTCACACAGCTATGAACTTGGAGTTGCCTCTATCCACATGTATCCTCTCTCCTCAACCTCGGACCCTTACCCCAGACCCAGAGTCCACCACCGTTAACACTTCCTGCAATGCCTAAGTTTCCTCATCAACAGAATAGGTATAACATTGTTCAAGGACTATTGTTGTTGTTGTTATGTGCCGTCGAGTCGGCCCCGACTCATAGCGACCCCTCCTTGGGTTTCCGAGGCAGTATCACTATGGAAGTAGATTGCCCAACCTTCCTTCTGAGGAGTGGCTGGTGGGTTTGAACCGCCAGCCTTCTGGTTAGCAGTCAAGTGCTTTAGCCACTATGCTACCAGAGCTCCTTAATATTTGCATATTAGGCTGTTTTGGCAGGCCCTCTCAGTTTCCTTGTCTGGGGAATGAAGCGTTAACCTGGTTTGGGGTTTGGGGGGACCTCGAGGAGTTAATCGATATAATGGACACACACACTCACACACGCACATGGCACAGAGCAAGAGCTCACGGAGACGGGAGATCTGGCTAGGACAGGACCCAGGGGACCTATATACTTAAAGATGATAATGTTTAAAGAAGGTGCCCTGGTGGGGCACTGGTCAAACATTCGACTGCTGACCGAAAGGTCGGCATTTCAAACCCACCATCTGCTGCACGGGAGAAAGACCTGGCAACCTGTTTGCCGTAAAGATTTCAGCCTACGAAGCCCTAGGGCCAGTCACTCTGTCGGAGAAAGTTGCTAAGAGTTGGAACTGACTCACCAGCCCCCAACAGCAATGTTTAAAGCTGCTCGCAGCAATGCCTAGCACATATGAATCCTGGAATATTTTTTCTTTAAAATAGTGTATTATGTTTGAGGTGAAAGCTTACACAGCAAATTAGGGATTAGGCCCCATTTAACAATCTTTATACAGATCGCTCTGTGCTGTTGGCTACAATCTTCACAGCGTGTCAGCGTTCTCATTATTTTCTTTCCAGTTGTTCTGTGTTGATCTAGCTTCCCTGCCCCTCTGTGGTTTGCTTTGGGGTGAATATTGACCGTTCAGGCTCATAGAGCTGATTGTTTGGGGGTGAGTCTTTTTTTTTCCTTCACCCAAGTTAATTTGTGCGTCTACCTTCTGACAGATGGCTTGCCTTCCCTGGAATCCTGGAAATTTTCTCTGTATAAGCAGTGACAGCAGCCAATGCTATTTCCTTTAGAATTTTTAAAACAGACATGGGCCTGTTCAGCGCTTACCGTTCCATCTCTTAATCTTTTCCACTTAACATGTTTGAAGATCTCTTTCCTCCCCTACACACACACTTCCACGCCGTTCTTCATGACTGCTTACTGCTTCA